CAACATCTAGAAAGAAAGAGAGCAGAAAGAGACTTTGTTCAAGAAATTTGAAAATCGACGAAGAATCATTAAGAATTTAATAACGAATGACGAATTTTTCGCATTAATGCTTTTCGGAAAAGGCGATTGCGTCAATTTCGAAAGAAAAAAAAAGTCGTGTTAAGTACGTATTCGCGAAATCGCGTCAATTATTAGTATATTTCCGAGAAGTGTAATTATACGAGTATCTACTAATTATACCGGATGGAATACTATTGTACAGTGTGCATAGAAAGGCGACGGGTGACGTTTGATCCTTTTCTTTTCCTTCGTGGCGAACCGCGCGAGCCGCGGGAATTTTATCCGTGACATTTAATGAATGTTTTATCGAATGCTGTAATATTGCTTCCATCTCGAGCGCGTTATCACGCATCTGGTGTGCGTGCTTTAACACAGATTTCTTACGATTTTACGAATTCATCGCGGATACCTGAGACACGTTGCTTTTGCGAAATCGCATTAAGTGATAAAATTCGTCAACTTGCCAATCGATATCGCGATTTACATAAATTTTGTTGCTTTTGTTTGTATCTGTTGTTTTATTATGTAAATTCAAGCAAGCAATGTTAATTTTTTTATAGAAATCATTAAATTTATATTTTTAAGGATTGCAACTTTGTACTTTTGTACTTTGCTTATATCTCGTAAATTATTTATTAAGTTGTCAGTAACCCGGGAAAAAATGTTTTATAATTATGTAAAATTATATATAATTATATAAAAATTAACATATTTTGTATACAATTATATATAATTATAAAATATATCTATATATATATATATATATCATTTTTTCCTAGGAAATAACAAAAGATCGAAGTTATTATTTTCAGGAAAAAGAGCGGGCAGTCAAGAATGTATAATAGGGATCGATTTCATTTTGTATTCTTTTGTATTCTTTTATTCTGAAAAATCAATGGCGTTCACCAGATTTATCTTGGAACATGACAAGATGACCAAGGACGACAAAAGCTCTTTCTTTTTTCTTCCGTTTAAAATCGAGTATGTCATTATGTATGGATCCTGCTATCCTACTCAAGAAAAATTTCTAGAAAGGTAAAAGTATCAGAGAGAATCGAATTGTAAAATCGTGACATTTAAGAAATTTTTTCAGGGAGACACGTTCTTCGGAAAAAGTTCGGAATCTTTTTTGTTTATCGAAGAATGTGTCGGAAAAGTGTGACGAACGTGGTGCCAAAATTGCCATATAGCAATAATTAGTAGGATTAATATCAGACTGAT